CAACACAACGAAGCAATCTCTAACAACAAAGCTATCTCATTCACAGTTAGCCCAAAAAGCTTGATAAAGAGAGATTTCTAAACTCCTTATCCAGAAGCAAACTCCTCCTCCTTCCAAAGAGCTATAGTGTAAACACTTGAAGGTTTCCTTGCCTCAAGTACCACACCACGTTGAAGGATACAACTTTTGATCAAACTTCTTGATTAAAAGGGGGTAGGTCAACTTTCTTACAAGTTGATCTTGCAAGTCCTATTGTTCGGACGTTGTAGTTGTTGAAGAAGCGTGACCTTCGAAGGAACAACAAAGCCAGCACAAGTGCAGTAGCAACATTGGCCTTGCGAAGATATACCGTGCAGAAATTCACACAAGTGTAATTGTTGGTTCATTATTCAACAACCAACTACATAGTGGATTTTGAGGACGTAGAAGGATTACCCCACCTTCGAACCTCGTTAAAGTTTGCGTGTCTCTCTCTTTTATCTTTACTTTTACTTGCAATTATATTAACTGTGAAAACTAACCCATCCATATTGATTACTGCTCACTCTACCCACCAAATTCCGCACACAATCTAAAGTTCACAAGAACTCTAGATTAACACTTATTTTCACGTTTTCAAAAGAAGCGAAAAAGATTTTAAATCTGTAACAAAGTCTATTCACCCCCCCCCCCCCTCTAGACTTTGTATTTCACCACTTTGGGACCACCACTAACTACCTCTTTATTTTCCATTGCGCCAAGTATAGATTCATTGTGTACTTTAGATGCTCCGAAACTCTGCGTATATGCTGTTCTGTTGTATTCAGTGAGTCTGACATGAAACACAAACGTCTGTCCAATCAGATTTCCAATCAATCCAGGTAACTGGCCTTGTGAATCTTCATCCTGGGAAGTTTTAGATGTATAAGTATTAGTTGAATGTGAGGATGTGAGTACATATTTTTTTCCTTGCAAATTGTAATCAAAATGTTTTATATTTGATATTAATACCTCAAGTTTATCTTCCATATCATACAGGCTAATAGCAGATTGGCCTATTAGCTTTTCAGCTTCGTCATCAAAGATAATAAATTTTGTAACCTCGGTTTTATCCTTAACCAAAGCTTCAAGTCGATACCTGCGCTTTTTTTCCTTTAGTTATTTCATAAAAGTAGTTAAGCTTGAATACCATACCTGGGTACGGAGTCATCCACTAATTTAGATTGTTTTTTCCACCAAAACTTTGTTCCACTTGGCTTAACTATTCCCTTGCATTCTCCGCATGAGTTATAATACCAACTATTGTTGCTAATGTCTTCTATCAGTGCATGGCAGTAATATTGTGCACCCTAAAGTTTTTTCAAATATTCGTGTACATCAAAACCACAGAATTAGTTGAGGGGAAAAACAACTGTGAACACATCTCAATAATAAAATATCATCTGCCTACGTTTTTAAAGTCGGAAGACGCAATATTTAAAAGCTCAGCAATGGTCTTCAACCAAGAAACAACTGGGTCACGATCTACAATAGCCTTCTGGACCAATAGTGGTTTCATTGTGCACTGGTCACTGGTTTTATAAAACAGTAAAAAACAGTAATATTATGTTTTTAATATTCCAATAATTCATCACTCAAGTACAAAGGTCAGACTACCACTTCATTTAAGCACACATGCATACCAAAAAGTTTAGAATACCTATACTTATTTTTTAGTGCAGCAACTTCATCAATGGCGACGTCTAAGAACACCCTAGTAGCAGTTGTTGAAGACAATGTAGTGGTCTATGCATTGACAATAAGTAATAACACAAATATCAATAGAAAGAAATCCACACATACATCATTATCGAATTGCAACTTATTCATATATTTTTTCACCAGATTTGATGTGAACACCCCAACAATAACAGATCCCAGAAGTGTAGCTTTTTGGGTAGTATAATCATCAACAGTTCGGCCCCGAAGTGTTATTCTCATTTTTGCACCTCTAAACAATTTTTAAAATAAGGAACTGAATCATTATTCCAGATTACTGCGGTGTACAAATGGGGTATAATATGTGGTGTAAGTGTAGCATGACCCTTTACTAAAAGCCAAGTAGGATTACTAAAAGGGAGGACACCTAGGAGGACATATTAAAAGAGTAAAAGCCAAGTAGGACGACACATCATACCTAAGTATGGAAAAAAACAAGCCACGCAGGACGCCACATGTCGCAACGACACTTAAACCGCTCTACTTTATATATACTCCGTATAATAAAAGGAAAGGATATACTACCTCCGTCACACTCTCTTTGTTCACTTTTGACTTTTGAAACTGTTCATCTAAGCACTTTGACTCATCAAATTCTCTCAATGTGTAAGCCTAAATATAGTCATGTGTGATCTTGTTTGATTCGTCTTAACATATAGATTATAGATTATTAATATATAATTTCTATAATTTTTTAATATACAAATTACAAGATAAAATGGATTAAAGAAGTGCATTGGATAGTGTGCCAAAAGATAAGTGGACAAAGAGAGTGGGACGAAAGGAGTATATATATATATATATATATATATATATATATATATATATATATATATATATATATATATATATATATATGGGATTGACTCCAGTGAGATGACACCTTACGGTGAGATGACATGCTTCGGTCAGATGACACAAAGCTCACCACTGGTCACTGCAAAGCTCACCAAAAACAACTACAAAGCTCACCAAAGTGTAAGGCAAAGCTCACCATATTTTTTTCAACACTTTGAATTTTTTCCCAAAAAGAAAATCAAAGGAAAGGGTGCTGACTGGACTTTGACTGCATTGACCGCCGCCGGTCGCCGGGCTCCGCCGCCGCCGCCGCCGGTCGCCGGGCTCCGCCGACGCCGCCGCCGGTCGCCGGAATCCGGTCACAGCCGCCGCCGCCGCCGGGCTCCGGCCGCCACTGCTGCTCCGCCACCCTTGACCAGTGGTTGACCGGTGTTGTTATTTTATTTTTAATTAATTTTTTAATTTTTAAAATTTAAAAAAAAGTGAGTTTTGGGGTTCAAAGTGGTGATCTTTGCTTTATTTCCAGGTGAGCTTTGCATTGTCCATTGGTGAGCTTTGTAGTGTAGTGTGGTGAACTTTGCTTTATTAGCTTTTTTTTTCAAAAAGTGGTGAGCTTTGCATTGTTCCTTGGTGAGCTTTCCATTGGCAGTGAGATGACACCTTATGGTAAGATGACATGCTTCAATCAGATGACACAACACACAACACTGCCAATGGAAAGCTCACCAACTGCCAATGCAAAGCTCACCAACTACCAATGCAAAGCTCCCCAACTGTCAATGCAAAGCTCACCACTTTTTTAAATAAAAAAAGTTAAAAAAATAACACCACCACTCAACCACCACTCAACCACCGCTCAACCACCGGTCCACGGCAATAGTGGGGGTCATCGGTGATGGCCATTGGTCATGGGCGGTCAAAGTGTAAAGCTTACCAAGTGTCAATGCAAAGCTCACACACTGTCAATGGAAAGCTCACCAAGAAACAATGCAAAGCTCACGGTTTTCTTTAAAAAAAACTAATAAAATTGCACCACCGGTCAACCACCGGTCCACGGCGGTAGTCTGCAACGGTTGGAAGTCAGCACTACCGCCCTTTGTTTTTTTTGAAATCATTTTAAACTTTAAAGTGTGGTGAGCTTTGTGCACATATTCGGTGAGCTTTGCAATGATAACCAGTGAGCTTTGTTGCTGGGCTTTGTAAGCATTTAACCATCAAATTTTGATAAAAAAAGTAAAGTGTTGGAAAATCATGGTGAGCTTTGCAGTGGACAGTGGTGAGTTTTGCAGTGATCAGTGGTGAGCTTTGCAGTGAACAGTGGTGAGTTTTGCAGTGATCAATGGTGAGCTTTGCAGTGATTAGTGATGAGCTCAAGTGTCATCTGACTGAAACATGTAATCTTACCATAAGGTGTCATCTCACCGGAGTCAATCCCATATATATATATATATATATATATATATATATATATATATATATATATATATATAGGGGCTGGTTCAGGTGAGAATGCACCTTGGTGAAAGAAATAAGAATAAAATTTAGCCTTTGGATCGGATGCATCGTGCGGCTCAGATTGCATCCTGCACTCAGATTTTGAGATAGTGCATTTTCAAAGGATTTTGATGCATTCCGACATGATGCGTTTTTAACTTATTTTGGTGCACCTAATTTTGATGCAATCTTGACCCTTAGATCTCACAATCCAAAGAACGAGATTCATTCTTATTTCTTTCATAAGATCGCATTCTCACTTGAACCAATATATATATATATATATATATATATATATATATATATATATATATATATATATATATATATCGACCGGTTCTAGTGACACCGGAGAACGGTGCCACTAGCGGTGCCACTGCCTTTTTTGGGTACCTCCGTTGCTCCGTTCGTGAAATTGACGGTTCTTTCCCCTCCTAAACCACCCACTAAACCCCCACTCTACCCCCACCCCAACCCCGCCGTAAGCTCCTCACAAAATGTGTAGCTATTATGCATTGCAAATAAAATAATAGAATTCATTTAATCATATTAGAAACAGAAATAAAATTTTATTTTAATCAATTACATTTTATTATATAATTTACTTAAATCAATTATCATTTAATTAACTATCATTTAATTTTATTTTAACCATTTACATTATTTAAATGATAAAGCATCTAAAAGCCTATAAAGTATAAATTTTACTGTAATTAACTAAAATTTTAAAATTAAAATAATTACTTACAGAACTAAAATTTTAAAATTAAAATAATTACTTACAAAACTATGTATTGTAATCTTTTTTATACTTGAACATTATTACTCCGTAGAACCCAACCTTCTCTTTTTAAAAAAAAACGATTAATGTAATTTTTAAAATATGCTGTTTGCTTTTATTTCATATTAATATTGAAAGAAATATATTCAAAACTAACTTTATTTTAACTTATCATAAACAAATAATCATGTGAAATGTACTTAAAGGCAAAGAGAGTACTGTAATAAGTAATTGAAAATTTTGTTAGAAATGAAGAAAAAATACTGAATCATGAAAAAATATTATTATAAAAATGGATATAAATATTGCATAATTAAATTTATTCAAATATTTCATAGAAAAATAGTGTTTCATATTTTATGTCTTAAATTATGAGTTATATTATGTGTAAAAAGCCACATAAGTAATGCACATATGAACTTTCTAAAGATAAAAGTTTAAACACTTTCTATAAAGGATATATTGAATATTTTTATTCTTGATAATTTAATATAAATGATTTATTAAAAAAGATTCAAATAATATTTAATGGAGTCTAGATTATAAATCAAATGCTAAATAATATGTCTAATATTTTGCCACATATATATTCCATATTGTGTTAAATTCTCAAATTTATACTGAGTATATAAAAGAAAAGATATAAAAACTTATCTTATATTTTTAAAATAAATATCTTACACGGGTTAAAATGTAGTGTCCAAACTCTTGAGTCTTGAGAAGGGTAACCGCCGCGAGGCTATTCCTTCTTGCCACACCCCATCGCCGACGTTTCCAAGGTAATAATCTCAGAAAGGGCGAGGCTGGAAAACCCTAGCCCGTTTACAATGGAGTCGTCATTTGATGTCGGCGGAAGCAGTCTGTCTCTTGCCCTCTTCTCCGGCGTTTCCAATTCCAAGTATGGCTCTTTCTTTTCTCTTTCTCTTTCTCTTTCCAACTCGAGCTGATTTTCTGATAGCTAACTAGCCATGTTTGAAATTTGAGGGGGGNCTCATGGGATTTCAATGATTCATTTACGTTTTCACGCCCCTATGCCAAACAGTAGTCCAAATTATGTTTTGATACTTAATCGTATGTGTAAGTACAAACAACGGATTCGATACGTTCAACCACATTTGATGTCGTGATGTGTGTTTGATTCTTTGTCAAGCCAAAATCCAGATAGTTCTTTTATCTCAGATTGGATATGGTCAGATTAGTAGTGGTTTCTATATTGCAAAAGCCTGAAAATCACTCCAGATTGTGCACCAATTGTATGATAGATTGTAGCCACAAAGTAATCACTTTATGTAAAAATCCAAGTGAAACATATGATTCAATCGCCGCTTACAAGATACAAAGTTACAACTATAGGTGGTTATATTATCTGGCAAAGAATTCATTTCAGTTTAGAAGAAGCACAGAAGGCAATTACATGCAGAGAATGCAGATGGGGTTCACATTAATTTTTCATTTATGCAAATCTCAATTCAAAAGTATGCCATAAGTTTTGAGTTAATTTTATATTCTATATTCTTGGTTTTCAGAGAGCTACTGGAATCTATGCAAGCTGGAACATTAGAGCCAGAAGTAGCACTACTAAATGCGTCACTTGTGAGCACACTTTAGTCCCACCCCATGTTTAGCTAAACTCATCATATATTGTGTTTCAGTCTGTTGTTTTCGACTTCTATGCGTGGTCTGATCAGTTCGAACACCATGTATAGATTCCAGACATTTTCCCCCTTTTAGCAGCTGCACATAAAGCGCTTCTGGCTAAATCACGGGACTCTCTTACCACACGAACTCTGCATTCTGAACTTGTTTATAACTACTCTGGATCCAAACATGTAAGGATGTTTTGATGTTAGTTTCTTGTGGAATACTTTACTTGTCTTTGTTCAATGGTTTGGACCATTTCTGGTGTTGTTAGATATCAGAATCCTTGAGAAGATGTGGCATCTCAGACAACTCAACTTACATCCTTGCAGCTCGTTTTGGTGCTTCAACTGATGAGGTAAGAATACCATCTTCTGCAATTTCCATGCCGAGATTCATTTCTTTCTATGAGTAAATTTTATTATTTATTTATATGTGGAGAAGGCAAGGCCTATACGGCAGGATAGAATCATAGAGATCATGATCTGTTCCATATGGCTTTAACCTTAATTACCAGTTTTAGACCATCATATGAGTTATAGAGACACAAGCTTGGGATATAAATACATTCTTATTCACAATCCACAGCAGAAATATACGTCTATACCATTTATTAAATGACGGGGAAGCAGGGGAATTGTTTTTTTTTCTTTAAAGGAAAAGCAGAAAATGAAGAGAACCTTTTGTCCTTCAAGCCTTTTCACTCTATCTGTGGCTGGCTTTCTAGAGTCAAATAATTTCACTGTTCAGGTTGCAGCCATAGAGAAACTGATCAAAGGTACAAAGATTGACCTGAAGGAATTAGAGCAAAGGGCAAACCAAGCTCAGATTCAAAAGGTTTGTGCTGCTTTATTCCCCTTGTAATAATTTCCCTTTCTTGGGCATGAATTAGGACAATTTCCTTTATGGTATGTTTGGGAACATGGATTTGGTTCAAATTCCATGTTTGGAAAACTTAAAAAAATTTGAATTTGGATTTGGATCAAATTCTGCTCATTCATTATAAAGCTTAATTTGAAATCCATGCACCTCTCCTTGTCATTTGAAATTCAAGATTTCAAATTTTGGAATTGAAATGCATGAATTGAAATGAAATGCTAGTTGCCAAACACTACCTTAAACAACTTGTATTCCCCAATCCTGTTTTTTTAATATATGAAAAAAATCACCAGCATTTCAAGATATCAAAGGTGGAGCTGGAGATATCGTCGTTGAGAGATGCAATCACCTGCAGAATCGCTGCTCGAGATGCATTGTGATTTTTTAGCGTGACATGATATGAATCCTATGTATTATGCTTTACCACTTTGTGTTCTCTTTTGACTCTATTTTCGTTGATAGAATAGGTTCTTGAAATTCAGCCGTACTCCGGAAGTGCTCCGTAGTTTCAAAATACAAAAATTACTACTCATCAAAACATAACTACATATTTGATCGTCGTACAACTTTTATATCTAAATAAGTTGCAAATTATCACAAATAATATATGAATAATGCTCTTTTTTTGGCTAATACTGATTAATTTGCAATTTACTTGTTGACTCTTCTTGTTTGATGGGTTGATGACAATTGACAATAAGTTAATCGGTTTTGCTAAACACAGCTCTAGTGCATGGGTGCTTTTCATTGATTGCTGTAGAAAAAAAGTATGGCAGGGTTTAAAGGAGTGGGGAGCATTATTTCAACCAATAGAAAGCTTCCACTTACGCAGTATTACTTATTTAAGTTGTTTGTACAACTTTGATATTTGATAAACAAATTAAGTTTTTTATCACATCGTATTTTAAATAGGGCAAACAACATACCCAAATTTTGTTTTGCTTACCAACCAAAACTTTAAAGGTGGCTTAAAACAAGCAAAAAAAATGGTTATCACTGAATGAGTAAATTTGATAAATGATCTATAACAACAATACTTTTTTATAATATTTAGTCTCAAATTTCAAGACAATACATAAATAATTTTCAATTTTTGATAATTATTCCATATTTAATCCTTCAAAATGTCATATTTGACCTAAAAGACTATTTACTTTGTACGAAATAATGCTAAAAAATTTAGAATAATTTGTGTAATACCATAGAATTGAGGACTAAACATAGAAAACAATCTGTAATTAAAGAATATTTCTAGAATTTACTACGGATTATTACTAAATTCACCCATTTTTTTAGGATACTAAATTCACCCATATTTCAAATAGGCAAGTTTACCATCAATGCTTGGTATGAGGAAAGAAAAAAGTGAAAGGGCAAGTGTGTCCATTTTTTTTTTTATAAACAGAGTGGATATAGCATCACTCAACCTACTATATATTACGGAGTAGTAGGTTTTGGATTTAGCATCACTCCAAAAAAAAATCAATGGTAAATAAAAATTTGACAACGGAGTTGAAGCCAGAAAATGAAGAAACACTCAACCTACTATATATTTTGGTGTCATGTACTCATGTGTCTAGGTGGTAAAGATGATATACTACGTACAACTCAAAAGCAAATAGAGTAATAATTCGAAAGAAAAGAAGAAGAAGAAGTGGATTAAAAGGAACAATCCTCCTCATCCCTGTTGTGCAGCCAAAGTATTTACTTCACTCAGCGCTTCCTGCCACCGGACATGCTGAAAGAAGTGACCTTCATTGGAGTTGCCACAACCAGAGGAGCTTCTGGGGAGTCACTAATGGCAAACTTCTCGTGCATGAACCGACTCTCAACAATGGACTCGTCCTTGAGAACTATCTTATAACAGTAGCAGCTCTTGAGCCCTTGCTGATTCTTGTAGCAATCATGCCCTGTGTCTTTCACCTGCTGGAAGTTCCAGATCACGCTGAACTTCCCCACAGTTGCCACCAAATGCCGCTCTTGCCTTCCACTTTCTGTCACCTGCAAGAATGTCACAATGCATATCCCCAGAACCACAAAGCTTAACTAATACTACTATGATACTGCCTGCTGGCAGCCAAATCTCGCATTTAACAATGAAAATGTAGTCAATTGTAAGTGCAAAATCATCCTTACCCAAGAGAAATGGCCACCATGGAACTTGTTATCTTGTCCAGCCATATGTGCATCGACAGGAGTCAGCTTCAGCAACCTTGGAGCTGGAATCTTATTCCCCATGCGACCAGAAAACCCGGTCTTTGTTTTCCCATCCTTATCGGTGAACATTGTACATATGAGGATCAAATACGTATCCGTCGTTCCCAGAATCCACTTCCCATCATACGTGACATCCACGTTAGTGATGGGAGAACCAAGTCCAGGAAAAGCAGTCTTTGCCTGCCTCATTGAAGTCTTAGAATACAGACGGATCTTCCCATCCAGTGACCCAACAACAATCGATCCATCCCCTGTTGTTGCGAAACACTGAAAATTTGTTCCTCTAGAGAATTGGTGTCCTTGTGTCCAATGCAATACGGGTGAGCTCGTGTTGGCCAACGTCTGCACCATCCCCTTCCTATCGCGCATATCCCACTGGCAAAGCCTACAATCATCCAACCCCAAGAAGGTTGATTCTGAAGGATCCAATTGAGACCCTTTTGTGTCATTCACAATATCCCTCATTGTTATCTCAGTCCCATCCTTCTCAAACTTCCATTCACTCACGATTTTCCCTGTCTCAATATCTAATTGATGAAGGCCAGTGGAATGAGGCTTACCTTTCTCTGAAGGACTCATTAGCATCATATTAGTCTCCCCACGCATCAAAAGTGCCTTCTTAGGCGTTGCCATTGCAGCACTTCCGCCGCTCCTATGACCTCTATCTTCAAATTTCACATACACACCTTTCCCATGTATTCCGTGGCTAAAATTCTTGACGACTTGAACCCCGGAAGAATCCACCAGGAAGCTGTTGTCCAGAGCCCCAAGGGACAGGCTCTGTATCCCTCCACCTGAAGATGCTTCTTCGAATTCCTTCAGCAACTCTTGACTATCTCTGGCAGGGATAACCGGGCTTTTCCCTCCTAGTCCTGCATCAGGGTCATCCCATATCATATCATCAGCTTCCTCCGGCTTCAACCACCCCACGAAGTCTTTCCCATAAACCTTGATCTTATTATTCTCAGTTGCTTTCATCCCATACACATTCTCAAACAAACAGTCCTGGAATTCAGTGAGGAAACCCCTGTACTCCTCGTCAGTGAAGAACTTCAATGCCCAAACTGCATTGTCGATGAAATCAACCCTCCTTTGTTCCCCGAACATCTTCAACTGCATATCCGTGGAAACTCTAGCTGCGATCTTCTTCCCCACCTTCAGAACCCAAAACCCCGATTCCTCCTCATCCTCATCACCCTCCGAACTCTTCACAAATTCATATCTGGTAAATCTCTCGCTAATCACCCATTTAGCCTTGGGCGTGTTACCACCGACGTGTAAGTACAGTTTGACGGCCTTACTGCAACTGCTAGGGCTCCCGACCGAGGAGTATTTGAGCTTCAACGCCGCCAGCTTCGATCCCACCTCGTCTAGGGTTTCGCTACTAACCTGTGCAGGTTTCTTCGCCGGTAAACCCTCCTCCTCCGCGTCTCGGTACTCATCATCGCTTCCGCCTCCCTCCTCATCGTAGTCCGATTCGTCGGAGAGATCGAGACCTTCGCGACTCTGTGAAGCTCCCATGGTATGGATTCCCAGAAAAAAGTACAGAAACAGCCGAGATTTTGGCGTGCAGAAGAGGAAAGGAAATGGGAATCGAGTTTTGAATTTTGATCGCTGAAATGAAAAGCGGTGTGTGATTCAGGAAAAGTGGTTATATTGGCCCCTGGGGAACGCGTAACAACCCGATAGCGTAGATCTAACGGGGTGACACGTGAAACTCCGGTTCAGAAAATTCTCTCGGTTACTCCGTATATAATAAGGAGTATTTATTTGTGTGTTTTTGTCCATAATTATATTGAAAAAGTATCATTACTATATCTTATTTTATAAAAAAATTTTAACATATGTTTTTGTAATATGTAATTTGTTTTTGTTTCCATACCAAATGTGTAAAATAAAATAATTTTAAAAAAAATAAATTTTACACGGTGTTTGGAGTGAGACGTTGTTTTTGAGATGTTTTTGAGACAAAGAGAATAGGAAATGATGAATAATAACTTCCTCCAACACTCTTAGCTTGATTTACTAGGAACCTGGCTCAATTGGAATGACGATTAAGAACCTGATACTGAGTAAAAGAATCAATCATATGTCGATCGATAAGTATAAAGAGTTACTGGACAGTCAGTCTATGATAATTTTTTGTGCTCAGAAGTGTACATGCTATGTACAAACTTGAGGGACAAAAACATTCAGATTTACATTCTCTAAGATTTCTTAATGGTGGGATCTTAAAACTTAGGATTAATCCAACCCTAGTTGGGAAACCTAGTTTATCAAGAAAAATATTATTCCCTACATTTCATATTAACTATCTAATAAGATATTCTTAGTACATTGAAATATAAATAAATGAATTTCACAAACTCTTGTTTTTCAATAAATAATCTAAAACTTTAATAAATTCATTCTGAAATTCATTAAATAAAAAATAAATTCATTATTTATTGAAAAACAAGAGTCAAACTCTAATAAATTCATTCTAATAATATATTAGAGTTTTAGATTATTTATTGAAATTCATTATTTATTGAAATAAATCTAAAATTCATTCTAAAACTCTTGTTTTTCAATAAATAATTTCTAAAATACATCAAACTATAAATAATCTAAAATACATCAAACTCTAAAACTTTTAATTTGAGATTACTCATCTGTCAAACATTTTTTTTTCAAAAATAGACAACAATTACAAAAGCCATCCGGTAAAGCATAAACGATACAATGTAGTAAAAACAAGGCATATCAAGTTATCATCCTATGGTTTCTCTATCCTCTGAAATAGGCAACATTATTCCTACTTTATACTTACATGTAGAAAATAAAAAGCATTTCAACAGTGAAATTAGGTGGTACAAAAAGGATAGAATATGAAGAATAATGTATAATATATTTACATATAATTGTGTAAACGGTAAAGTCATGTTTGGCAACAATTATTATAACAATAGTATGTACGGAGTATATCAAGAATTCATTTTTCTCCTTTAATTTAGTCATTTATTTCCATCAACTCAAAGTCTATCGTAGACTAAGACAATTTCTTAAACATCATTTATTTCTAAAATCAGGGTGAATTATGTGTACATTCCAAAAAAGTGAGAGTTACTAATTATCTTTGAAATGTATGGTTTCCTTAAACGAGATACTTGAAATTAATGACACGACAATTCCACACAAGAGTTACCCCTCTTACATTGTTATAATCACCATCTCTTGATCAATTTCTTAATTTACTTTTAAAAATGTCCCTAAATTTAGTTCGGTTTCTAAGAGGCAAACCTTAAAGAGCAAAAACACAGGGGGGGGGGGGAGAATGTGCTTTACATTGTAACCACTATGTCTCTTAAAGAGGAAAAATACCAACCTTCAAGACAATTTTTTGGTGTAAGAAACTTTTTTTTTGTATATTAATCACACATCATTTTAC